TATCATAAATGACAAAAGATAAATTTGCAGAAGTTTTCTGTTTCAACCTGTTATTGAAAAAATGATAAATCGTGATAATCCAATACAAAGATCAGATATGCATATTAAAAACAACTGTTCCTTTTAGAATCTTCGAAGAATAGCTTTCTTTGGACGTTTGCTGTTATGTGATTAAACCAATTACTCACGTATCATGTACCCATTAAGTGCACAGTACTTGAGACGACATTATATATATTCCTCAACAGTCAGGTTCAAGTTGGAATGAAAACCAAATTTGCTCAAATTTATGACAAAATCGACCCTGGATTTTCTCATCGCCTCTTGAACTAGAAACGTAGTTGTCTGTTAAATGGTCAATATTGGTGAGGTACAATTTAGTTTATAGGTCAATCAAAAGTAATGTAGAAAAATATTATAGCAATTTTCGAATAATTGAATCTTACTTTGGTTGATAAGTGACAACTTAATTGTTTACACAGTTAAGGAAAACATATAAATGTTTACACATGTAAACTAAAACAGAGTTACATGTTCACGTGACTAAAACATGGCTACGTTGTTTCTGGAAATGTAAACAAAATTATCAAAGTATTTTAAAAACATCAAACGTTCATTTTAATTTTTGCTTCTTCTTCATTTATTCTTGTCAGTCTTGTGTTTGAGGAATTGCTTGACTGAATGTACTTAGTACTGACACCCCAAATCCAACGGCGCGTAATTGAAATATAAAGGCTGATGATATGGATTTCTTTGATCACGAAAATAGATCAACCTAAAATCTAAATGTACTAATTTTTGTGTTGTTTGTTTACAGTCAAATCAGCATTCAAATTTATATAATTTGAATTGAGTATTTTCTATTATCAGTTAATCAATAACTTGCTTTCTGAATGTGTGTTTTTAGTTTCCTGCTGATTTACTTTCACATTAACTAAATTTCCCACTTTTGTTTCTGTCGTGACATTTTTGCATTTACTTTAGCAGTCATTCACAACTATTTACAATATTTTTCTATCATTCAAAGGTCAGTAGGACAAATTAAACGATATCACAATTCATCATCTCAGTCTCGATTTCGATCGAATTTTCTTTCATTAGTGTCAAGTCGTTAGGCATGGATAACACATAATATATAATATGATTTAAATTGCTGCATGCAGTTTCGTATGTAACTTTTGGTGTTCATAGTGTGTATTACACGTTAGAACGAATTCTTATGTTAAAAACATAATCAACAATGAGAGCGATCTACATAAAGCCTGTGATTATTCTTGTAACACTGCTATTTGCACTTTAAGACGTTCAGTATATTTGAAAATATAGGATACACATTTATTGTTAAGAATAATCAAATTTATTTTGTTTAATACATTAACGATTTGCCCAAGTGCAGGAGATGGATTGTAAAATTTCTAACTCATCAGCTGAATGAAGTTAAATCCTCAAAATTTAGATTTAATGAAATATGAGAAAATCATTTGTAAGAAGAAACCTAATGAAGTCCATGAATAATAATCATTTCATGCAAACCAGAACATAATTTTACTGTTTAAGTAGTTTCTTGAAATAGAAAATTTCTAGTTGTAGTATATAGAAAGATTTGAGACAAGAAAACAAGTACATAAAGATTGTAACATTAATAATCCAACCATAGTACAATATCGATAATAATTTATATATTGATTAATTTAGTATTAATACTCCCTTCAAAAATTTATTTCACAAATATCCAAATGTTTTATGTTCCATAACACTAATCGTCATGGTTATAGGTTTAGTGATAAAAATTTTCAACGTTTTATATTTTGTGGGTATCATTACCAAGATGTGACTTGATAATTTTGAATAAATTGAGCATTGGGTAGATGGTTATAAATAAAATAATATATTGGTAATATCCCAATGAGTAGAAAAATTAGATTTCCTGACCTTTCGTGATTTAGTGTTAGTCATTTCTTCAAAGAATTAATCACCGAATCAAAATTATTCCATGTTTAAATAGTACGAAGGAACAACGCAAGAATATTTTGTGTGACACCGGCTAAAACCATATAGGAAATGAAGCCAGAGCAAACGCATCTCCTCAATTTATGCAACTTGGAAAATATGTCCTCACTCGTAGATTTTTATCTCTCCTCCTGACTAGCTGTACCTGAAAGCTCTTCTCATCCCTTGTTTATTTTTGCGCGAACTTTACTAACGTAAAGTATTTGACAAACGTGATTTGCATTTCCCAAACTCCTACAGTGTCCTTAAGCAACAGAAGTACTGTTTTTGATCTAAAGAATAGTTAGATTCATCAGGCCTAGACAGCTTATTTACAAACGGAGGGTTCCTAAATGACCTCACAATCCTCGCTCTACTGAGAAAAACTGGCCAAGCCAACACACTCTTCAACTTTATCAGCGAAGTGAATTAAAACATCTTGCTGACTACATGTTTGAAATTTCAGACGTTAAGAGGTGTCTACTTGTTCCTGCAAACAAGTGTTTCACTTAACCAGTCCTCGTATAATACGAGCAACCCATATACATAATAGATCGCATTCCTCAAATACCGAGACTCGAAAGATGCTACTAGAAGGAATATAGAATAACTTGTGACGACGGCACATGCAGACAGTTTAAACATGTAAGATACAACTGCGAGAAAACAATAAAAGAAGAGAAACTTCTGAATAAAATCAAGTTAATTTGCAAATTTTACACCAAACCGAAAATCATATTTGACCATGCAGCTTCTCTTTGACAGGTCAAGTTTTCCCGGTTGCTAAGTCCTTATGGTCCAACCAACAACGTCGGTGATAACACTGAGCTTCTGACAAAACAGTTTTTCAAACATTCTTACCGTTATATACAAGCGACATTGACAAATGCTTCAACAACAACTGAACAAGACTCTCAGAAGTGAACTAAAGGGTTGACACAAAGAATCAGATCTTACAGCACCTAAACAAGGTCATTTCTCCCGCCCAGGATATGGTCCATTCTGTCGTACTAACGGGAGTGGTTTAAATCTTGGCGAAACCGCTTAGAATGATGTCCTCCCATTCTCTAAGCCAAGACACGATGTCAGAAAATGGGAATCATGCACACACTACGCCAATTTATATGAAGGCTGAGGCAGCGAACTTTCAGGCCACTGGCCAGTAGCGAATCTTGCAGCACTCCAAAAACGATAGTCTTTGGTATATAGTGATCTGAGTGGCTACTTGCTATCCATTAACTTACTTTCGCCTCAACAGTAGGGTTATAAAAAGGAAAACGTCTCTTTGACTAAACTGCTGACTGCGTTGAACAGATGGACAACCATCCATGATCGCAAGAAGAAGGTTGGCTTTATATACTTTGACTTTTCAAAAGCTTTTGGTAGGATCAACCACATATGTCTTATCAAAAAGCTCAAACGGTGAGGTATCAAAACATCATTAATTGATTGACTTAATTCTCAGTTTATTTTACTAGGACCTCTCCTTTTCTTGATTTATATAAATGAACTTCCGCAGCGCCTATCGTCTTATTTCACCATATTTCTCTCAAGACGTGAAAATTTTTAGAGTAACGTTTACAACCAAGATGATAAACTGGCACTTCAATAGGTTAAGACTTGGCTCCATAGTTTTGGGGATAAGAACAGGCTTTGAAGTGCAAAATATTTCATCGAAAACTTTTTGTAGACTACGCATATAATGTAAGAAACTTCCCTCTAGAGGTATCGCAAGTCAAAAAATATCTAGGAGTGTTGGTACCCTGTGATCAAAATTCTTACGCTAAACGACAAAACAGCCCTTCTAGCGATACGTGCACTAGTAACACTGAAGCACATTTTCAGGCAATTTAACTTCAGAACTTTCTACTTTAACATTTTTATTCTACGCCATTTAGAATATGGAAGCATTGTGTTTCCTCTCTTACTTCAAATGGATAAGAATATACCGGAACAGTTCCAACGGCGAGCCGCAAAACCAATGTGGGGACTCAAATAGCAACCTCAGAGTTGATATTTCAGTGACTTATGGGATCCCAAACACTCCTGGATACTCTCTCAAATCTATATTCAGCCTACTTTCAACACAAACCTAACGGCCAACAACGTGTAGCATGGTGTCGAGTTGAGATTAACTATGAACACCGCTACGAAGAAACACGTGCCAAACGAATCAGAAGGCGAAGGTCAAACGTAACCAAATAGATCCATAAAATCCCTGAGAAACCAAAGTTAATGGACCAAATCGAGATATATTCGCTGGCGATCTCGTGGCATCGAAAGGATACCGAGATCGTGCCAGGATAAAAGCTTGGTTACAGAACGTAACCGAATTCGCGCGAAGTTACAATCAAAGTGTGAGAATCAGAATCGAAGCACAATATAGCTGTCATTAGCACAGTCAAACAAAAGCACAGTAAAACAAGCACTGGTACAGTTGGTTATAATAATAATTGTTTTTATTAAACCAGTCGTGTTCTCGTGATAAATGTGAGTCATTACAAACGGAAATTAGAGACACAACATAGCACAATAAACTATAATCACACCTTATGCTATGTACTAGTAGTCGAATTCTGACATTCAGAACTGTTTGCAGTGGTCCAAGCGTCTAATCCTCAAGAGAAACCCTGACATATTCTGAGGGAGTTGGGACAGTATTTCATTAAAACTCACCAACATTTTTCTTGTAACAACTAAATATACTTTGATTCGTACCTGGAGGCATCCATGAAATACTGTTAATAAATATGGAAGTCCGTTAAGCGATAGTTTCTCCTTTTCCGCCCACAACCATTTGAACCAGTTGCATTGTCTTTTATCGTCACTAACTTATTCTTATTTCTATTTTAATCACTTCGGTTTTAATGCTACTCACACACTCAAGTTTATCAATACTGTGACCGAACTGAAGCAACAATAAGCTAGGGAAAGAAAATCAAATAGTGTATGCTTGTTCATGCAAAAGATGCTGAATATGTTAGATATTGGATAGTGAAATATATCTAGCGGTATTTTCAAAGCTCTAGGTCACGTGAGGTAACTCAGATGGATCTCAAAACATGCGAATTCGTATAAGCGTTCTCTTCATAAAAGTCTATATATTGACAACCATATACTTCATAGCAATTTTTTGTACAACCAGAAATCATGATTATGAATACTCGCATTCTTTGAAACTAAGCAAGGTAGGTTTTCTAGCATATATATACTGTTCAGATTCCTAATGATTCTTATATACTAGTCCATACTTTAGGAGGCGAAATTCTATGTGTTCATAGACGTTCTGGACATGTCAAGTGGAAGTTTGATTCTGGTATGCTTTTTCCTAATTATCTTCATTCTGTTGTTTTAGCGTCTGCTCTTAGCGCGAGTTATGACAATGGGTAAGTTAAATACCTTTCCAAAGCCTTCTGTAGGCCATTACTGGTTGTAGATCCAATTAGCGGTTCTCTCTATGAATATGCAAGTTCCGTCTCAGAATTCTTATTTCAACTGTTGGATCATTCCATCATGGGGCACGTTCGACGTTCTCCTGCATACTACAAAAACTTCTTATCTCTCGGTAATTGGTTTTATTTGTTAACCGGTAGAACTTCAAAGTTCCTCAGGGCCTATCTAAAATGAGAAATTAGCATGTCATTAACTCATTACTTCATGAAATGTTTTATTTTTTCTATAGTTTCCAGAGTTACTGTTCTCATTTTTGGTAATCTTGCAAATAATAACGTCATTTTGGGAATAACAGGTGCTGATTTCTGGGGGTCCACACTTTTCTACTAATATAACCTAACTAGCGTTTTCCTGTTGTGTACTTCGGAATCATGTTCACTTATTTTATTTGCCGGTATTTACTCATGTGGCCAGAAAAACCAATAGTATGTTTCACACATTTATTAATCCGTGAATTAAGTAATCTACGCCTAAATTGTTCTACTTTGTTTATGGACACCCTCACTACTAACTGTGCTCGGAAGATGTATAAATATCTATTTTGAATCCTCAGCATCATACTTGTGGTCTGGGATTAAGTTCACATAGCTGATCTTGTATTTCTACAAATTGTTATTATATGACTCACTTCTAACTACTTCTGTAAGATGCGGTTTTAAAAATCACTATTTTTGAGGTTTTGTATCTGAAGTAATGTCATGCTCCTAATCCGTGTAGCATTTTAACGTACTTATCAGGTAAATGTGATAATTTCGGTTCTCATTGATATCAACACATTTTTCTGGAGAAGTAACAAACGAATTTTTTCTCCCCCATTATGGCTGATGACGTTATCTTACATAAAAGAAGTCAGAACGTGGGACATAAACCCAGCTTCAAGTTTTTACAACACATTACAGAATGATGAAATTATCGAGGTAAATTTAGAAGCTTTAGCAATTGTAATATTGATTGTAGTTAGAAAGATTAGAGATAAAGGTTATGGTCAAAGAACTAATAAATTTATGGAATATAGTAATATTGCACATCTAGAAATCGATAGAGTGAATGCATTATAGCCATGTCACTAAACGTCTGCTACCACTGATCACAGTAATCGTATGGACTCCAACCGGATAATCTCCACCAACAATCAGGACTCATATCGATAGTCAGCGGCTTCATGGATTGGTGTCAGATCTTGGTCTAACAGCCGCCAGCTTTCTCCTTACTTCTCCGCCAGCCATCATTATTCACCGGTCCTCACTTGGAATTCATCTCCACCTACCACTTTACAGTGTAGTCTGTCGTATAAATTCCGTATGATTCTAACGATCTTCCTAGGTAAGCCATAGTGTCGAACAAGGTTCTGTAGGGTTCTATCCATACTGTCTGACACGTTCCCATAATCAAAGGAGTTGATTTATGGTCACCAGTTCTATTCAATTGACTCTTCAACAATGATCGTGGTGTTGAGATTTAGCTTGTGTACGACCAATCCTTATGGAATTTAGCCTGTTGATCTCGGAGTTGCGCGTCTACTGAATATTTTATTCAGTTTAATTACTCCTGTTGAAAAATTTTTCTAGTGCTGATTGCAGTGTGATGCTTCTGTAGTTTTCACAATTGCTGAGATCTTTCTTTGTCATCTTGATAAGGTATCATTCTTTTCAGTCTGACGGCATTGGTTCTTTCTCCTCCAACCCTGTCGTAACGTTTTTGAATCTCATCGACTAGCTTGTGTTGTCATGTTAAGTTTTTTATTTTAAATATTGTTTGTGAAGAGGTAATGTCAGGATATATGAGTTTGGATAGTATTGGAGTAAATATTTCATGTGATGAGGTCCATGACATGAATATATAAATTCAGTTATGGGTGAATGGAACAAAGAGACGATATCACAGAAACTCTCTCAATTCAATAAACAAGTCAGCTAGAAGTAAGTCGGTTGTCTTTTCTTAACAAAGTAAATAATCTTTCGAAATATATTTTTTGCATCTAAAAATACTTGCCTATGTCATTATATTTACTAATAAGGTTCTAAATCGGACTTTTGGACCTCTGTGGATATGAATTCAGGGAAAATTTTCGAGTCAATATTTCAAAATTACGTGGACAAGTGTCCAACTTCATTAAATAATGAAAATGTTGACAAACTGCAAAATTCTACTGAAGAGATTGATATAATCAACCTTGGAAGAACTCAATATAACCTAGTACTTCGTGATCGTTTTACTGGTTTGGTGAGGTGAGTTATCATTGTTAACCCATATAGTAGTATGCGATGAACATAATTTTGAATTTAAAGTATCTTGATAATTGGTGTCTGTATTATGCATCTACTGACAATTTTTATTAATCATTGTTGAGTGCTGGGCTAGAGCAGTATTTTAAGCACCAACAAGGTACAAAAATCCTCATAGTTATCAGCACTCGTTTTGAGTTGTTTGGAAAGTGTTTATTTATATGGATTCATAAAACACTCAAAATAATAAATCCGAAAATTTAATATTGTTAGAAATTGATTTCAGTAGTGCGTAAATACATTCATTTTTTTGACTTCGCATTCCCAATTTCTTTTTCGTCCTTCTTACGGTTATTTACTATTATTTTATATTTAATAATGTTTCTGCAGTTATATAGCACGGGTCCATTTGTAATGTGAGATTAGCTATGACAACCAATAGTTGCTTTTCAGCTGAATGTAGTTGACTTAAACATTAGCTTATTATTTTAACTGTTTGGTAATAATTTATGTGATCACCAATACATTTAGATTATTTTAAAGTGGAATAAAAGATATATAACTTGGAAACTGCATACAGCTGTTCATATGGACTGTACATCTGCTAGGTAATTTGCTATAGTTGGTGGAAAATCTTGGACCTAGGTTTCGGACTATTTAGCATTCCCCAACAAGATTTACCCGTAATCTCTGAGGGGCTTATGCACCCCGGTGAACTCGAACTTGCATCACTCAGCTTCACAGTCCAAGATATTACCATTGAGCTGTTCAGGATATGAAACTGTCCCTCCGTAGGATTGAGATATTTACAATTGATTGATCACCCAGTAATAATCAGTGTCATATTTGTCTAGTCCTTTTGGTGCTTCTCGAATTCCACCGCCTAACATCTAGACATAGTACACATTATGTCGAGTCACTCACGCTAGTGACCACATTCCAACTTTATCGATCAACACTAAGAGGACATGACAGTCACTACACCTGTGTATAAACTAAACTTTTTGGTCACTAAAACCTTGCGAAGTAAACCATAACTTTAATTCAATAGATGGGAATTTTGTGCTGAAGTAAATAAATTCAAGTGGTATGTTATAATACGTATGCGACAGTCAAGTCAGTGAGTTAGTATGATTTTGTTTAACCACTTATAATGATGTTTGCGATACATGTTAAAATAGAATTTTATGATTTAAGAAAGAGATACGACTACCTGTTGTTGAAAGTTCTTATTGGTTTTCTATACTCTTCAAAATATTTAAAGTAATAATTAATGATCTTGTTAATATCAGTAACAGCTTTATACATGCTTGATTCTAAGCATTACTTTATGCTATTGAGTTTTTTAATGATCAGTTCTTATAGTCATCTATTTAGTTCTTATTCTTTTTTCTCTGTTCTTTTTATTAGGCTTAATATCACTTACAATACGTTCGCCTCTCATACAGAAGCAGATTTACAAAATTATGGTTCGTAAAAAATATTATCGTTTGTAATTAATTTTTTATTGTTACATTATTCAAATTGCCATTTTTAGTAAATAGGTGAAATTGTGGTAAATTTGGATTGGTTAAACAGTAATCAACATCGGAAAACCTAGAAACGTTTAGTCCATGATTCGTTTAAGTTAAGAAAGATTCAGTCGGCCACAACAAAGACTAGAAAAAAAACAATCTTTTAGTATAGTGAAATTATTAGCTTCGTTATGAAGCTTTCCACCCTGGTCAGATAATCCTTCCATATTTTCATTAACTCATAAAGTACATTGATTGGTTTCATATTTTTCATATGTGCACCTAAGAATTATTATATATTAAAGTGAAGCTTGATGAAGATTTAATATAAACATTTGTTTACTTGCTATTAATTTTGTAATTTTGAACATTTACATCACTTTTAATTTTCACTGTTATCTAACAGATTTACAGCACGTTGCTATTACTCAACCGGCCTTATTGACCTTTGAAGGGTCTAAGTGTAAGTTGACAAAGTATGTATTTTTTCCCAAACTTGCACGTTTTAGCGTAAATATATTATGAGCTGCCGTAAATAGTTTCAGTTAACTCCACTTAGTAATCATATTTAGGAAGTCTGGATACCAATTGCTTTTCTGCACTCTCTGCTTCACCTGGCATTCCACATAATGATTAGACATATTATATGGCTTCACTGTATCAATCGATATTAATTCAGAAGTTTACTCTTCATGTTACTTCAATATTAGTTATGTGTTATATGTAAGGCTCCATTTCCAGGCACTCCAATTTTAATTATTGCACCATGGAGTTGAACCCATTCAGTTGACACTTAAGTTATAGCATTAGCCTGAGTGCAATTAATAGCCTGTAGATGGGTCTAGATTGGTTTTACAATATAGTTGTTCCTATCACAATACAGCATGAGTTGAAATCTAACATACAGAAATTTCTACCTCATGGATGAACGGTTCATATTGTCATGTTTAATTTAATTCGCATCATAACGGGACATTTGTCCACTGCCAACTTTAAGTAAATGTCTCACTCTTGATGTAGCTAAGCTCCACAAATTTTAAAAGACGTTTCTCAGATGTCGTCACATATGTGGATTTTCGATATGCTGATTGTATGTTCAAGGAGTTTAATTAAGTAAATTCAACCATATACTTTTGCAAATTAACATATCTATCCTAAAAGATTCTTGGTTATTTCACAGCTTATTTGGATTTAGTTTCTGCTCCGACTATATTTTCTTTCTTACTAAACAATACAGAATATCTTACCAAGTAATAGTGAGTGCTCTAGAATCATCTTAGGCTACCAAAAGCCAAGTCTCGTAGAGAAAAATGGGGTTAGGTTATGAGATCCCACTTTGTAATTTAAAACTCAACGTAATCATATAATATCATTCAATCCACCAAGACATGTTGCATGAATTTTTATAACACCTATAAATGAGCAAGTAATCACACTAATCAGTAGCAACTGTTAATCAGATTAGCGATATCGAATCATCATAATTGTATTATTTGGACATTTTTAATGCTGACTTTTACATTCCAGTTATTTCTTATCTTCACTTAATTTCCAGCATTTAAAACTTACTCGAATCACTAGTTCCAAAAATACTCAACTTTTAAAAAATTCGGATAATTTTAGATATTTTAATGATAAAATAAATATCGACTTACGAATCCTATTTTTGGTGATTGTAAGTGACCCTAATCTAGTGTGTTTGTAGTTCGCAACTACATTTATTGATAAGCAGTCTGTTGGTAAGTGATTTTAGTTTACAGTTGTCTATATTCAGGACTCCAAGTGAGCAGTCTTTGTTACCATATGGGTGGCCTAAACATATTGCTTTTATATAGCGTTGTGTTACAAGTTTTTAGCGTATTTCAGTATGTGACTAGCAGTAAAACATAAGGGGCTCACTTTGTCTTATTAGGGATTCATCAGATGGATCAGTAACATGTTTGTCCGATAGTATATACGTTAGTAAAACTATTCATTCCCTTAGACTCTTTATTTTATTGTCATTAATACTTTCAGATTTTGATGTATTCGATTTTATGTACCTTTCTTCCCCAGTAATATGGAGTCTACCGTTATCATCTCCTGTAATCGGCATGTATGCATTATGGTCACCGTCTGATTCACCATCTAGTGTTCATGCAACGAACGAAAACACCAATAATAACATTAATAGCAATAACAAAGAATCCATAAAAGAGACAGCTAAATTACCACGAATCCTTAGACGTATCGCATTTACAACTTATGCATTAGATCTACATAATATGACAAATCCCACAGATGATCAAATTTATGATGAATTGGAAGCGAAATTTAATGGAACATTAGATTTAGCGTACGTCCTAATCTTAATAATTTTTTATATTTGTATGGAACATCGTAGTTATAACTGATTTTGTAATTATATATATCCGTTAAATTTCGTTGTAAACTCATCACGTTTATAATCAAATTAAGTAATATTATGTTACTGAAAATTTCCTCTTTTCTCTTTTTGTTGTGGTATAGACTTGTTTTTTTCCGATCATTTAAATCAAGAGCCGATTCTCAATGGCTGCGATAGCTGAGTGATTTTCAGTATTTTTAGAACTTTTTTCGACTCTCCAATTAATACTGGTTGACGAGATAAATACTCGATATTATAACAAGTATGATCAAGAAATGATGTTTAAAAGATATGAATCCTAACACATTTCACTCCTTAAATTTACTTATATTATTTTAAGGAAATCTAAGCATTCAACTACATCCTCCTGTTGATGTAATATCCATCAACAATTGAACGACAGGTATACTACTTAACTTTGTATTAGTTTATTGTTGGAGAACTTGACTGTTCTAGGTCAAAAACATGTTCCCTAGTAATTATTCACAACAGCGGGTTTCTTCAAATCATTGCTCGAGTTTGGTAAAACTTTCGTCTGAGCTATATAGGTTTTAAAGCGTAACTGACCGATATAGTTGGGACATGCGTTATACTTATTAAAACACTGCCTACTTTAAAGCTCGATTTTAGCTGGTATATTGGTAGGTTAGGAAACGTCAGGAGTCAAGTTAGAACACAGGATCAGTTTATAAAGTCATCGACAGTTGGTCTTATCTGTGTGAGCGAACATTGACTTCCTGTCTGGTTTGCATTTTGTAACCATCGTCTACAGTTGAATGTGTTAGAAGACATAGCTTGAAATTTCTCCCAGTGGTTTACTTTACTCGTTCTTAAATCTTTCTTTATTACTGAGGTTTCAATATCTATTACTTCCCATTCTTCTTAAACTATGTCCGTATTGTTTTGCTAATTATGTTAATCTTCTCTCGCATTACTGACCGAGGTTTTAACGATCTAAACAAATGCGCATCTGTGCTAGATCCTACCCGCGATATATATATATATATAATCTTATCATAGTATGAGAACCAACGATATACTAGCGGGGTTTGTCAACTCACATAAGGACTTCATTTTTACACATAAAAGTATCACTTTAATGCATTAATTCATTACAACCTAGTTTTGCCATGTTAAAATGATTTCAATATTATAATTAGTACAGACCTTTATTTGTGAATTATTGGGGTAAAATGAAAAACAGACTTCATACCTTTAAATTTCCTATGAGCTTTTTGTGCTTACACTGTATTGCACCATATACGATCGATTGATTGATTGATTACAGAGTAGTAATGAGTGTCATGTTTATTTATCCCTTTAGTATTGATCGAATTCTGTCGATCAAGTTGCGATGTGACCACTGGTCTAAGTGATTGGACATACCTGCACTGTATTTAGGTGTTCAATGGAGCAAGGTAGTCGTCATGAAATATTTTTAGGACCGATTCGATAATCACTCAGGTTGTTTACCTAGAATACTAATCTAATTATTTGAACAATGTAAAATATTAAAACAAACATTTGCGTAATCGCCATACTATTCGTTATTTTATACTTACTCATATGATTAATTGTATCCTTTACTCATATACGTTTTATATGTACGCTTGTCGGTATGTATTTGTCTATCTACTTATTTATTCTATCCATTCTCTATTCGAACTGCGTATAAATACACTTATTAACTTATACTTTGAGTCTTTTGGTATGCTAATTCGATTTTGGATTTGTACGTTCGTTAATGAGGATCTGTATTTCACTGAAGTCAAATAAGCTACCATAAATGGTAAACATTTATTCTGTCAACTGTGAATATTATATACAAATAATTGTTTACTTTTAGATTCATTAATAATTTTGAGTATAACGAGATATTTCAATTATTTTATGGTTTTGCAGACCTTCATTATATATTGGACGTTCAAAATCAACTCCAGTTTATGCTTTGATGTGTCTAGCAGAGGCTACATTACGAATACGTGGTTTACGTAGAGCATCTGAAATGTATATGTTGGAAGGTCCGAAAAATTTAATTGTCATGGATAATAATCAACAAACTACTACTACTAAGACTACAATTACTACTGATACAAATAATCATAATAATAATTATTATTATAATAATCACAAAGATAATTGGCCAACTGGTCTAATCGGTTTATATGAATTACCTACAAGTTATAAAAAAACATCATCATGGGATGATAATCGTATTGATGACCAACCAATGTCTACACTGAAACGTGGCAAACGATTAAAGCGTTTACCGTCCATATCATCATCGGACTCGTCTACAATGTAAGTTGGATAAATCATTGCCGTATATGTGTACATTTCATTCAGTCTGTTATAAATGAAGTATGAGATTTGAACACTAGATATTAACTAAATAATCAGATGAGTAAGGCTAAAAAATACTAAACTGACTAGGCACTAGGTCACTAGTTCACCATACTTGATCACTTGATACATTCGACCCAGTTATTTGATTAGCAGTCGAAAACCGAATATTGATGACAAGTATTTACTGAGACACAATAGTTTCCTTTAATTGATGGAAATCGTCTGTCTTCGTTCACCGGTTAATCACGGTTTGTTTTCACCTTATCTATCGCAATCTTTTAAACACTGGTGCTTACAATTGTTTGTTGTTCAGTCATTTTATGCCATAATTCTTCAGTATAAGTATATTCGAGAATCCCCAAGATTTGTTTTAACTGTAAATAGCTTATCTTACTCTGAATCTATACGACTCACTAACCGATTATACGTTTGGTGTACTCGCCTTTAAACTTCACATTTTTCAAAATGTCAGTTGAAACAAAAATGATGTGGGAATTTGAACCCATAACCTATTGGTTGAAAACCAAATCCATTTGATGACTGAATCACAACTTAGGAAAAAATGTGACTAAGTAATCTCTGCTCAGAAATAAATGTCCATTAGGTTAACAGAAGTCTAGGGTAAACATATGGTTATTAATTATTAACATCAAATTACAATGATTTTTAGAAATGTTATCGTAAATTAGTCAATTTCCTTTTCTAGTTTAAAAGTTGCAGAGATGTCTTTGAATTCATTCTTTCGGTTTGAAAATTTTGATCAATACTGTTTGCCTGTGTACAAATGCTCTATTCTTGAATCGTTTTACCGACCTAGTCGAACTTTATTTTGGATTTTTTAGAGATCTTTCAAGGAAATACCATGTTGTTTGAACGGTCTGCGATAAACCCACTTAAAATATGAGTTTCACGTTTAATAAAGCAAACACAGTATTTTATTGATAAATCTGACTGAACGCTTGAATCCGTTTCCTAAGTTCTAATAACCTCATGCTAAATCTACACAAAAACGTGAACATGAGATAATAGGTGCAAAATGTGGAGAGTGTTTTTTACTCTAAGGTTAGTTTATAGGCAGAAATTCGAGAGTATTTATACCATTTCAGATGGCTTTGGGCTTCTGGAAGGTTCTAAAACCCTATTAAACATAGAAGCAGGATAGACAATCATAACGTTTTTAGCTGATTCAGGTAGTAATGTCTCTCCGCTGTGCATCCGTCCATCATCTTTTGTCTACTGAAAAATCTACCTCTTAGTTACATTAGAATTCGATCTATTTTATCTCCTTATCATTAACGCAATTTAATCAAAGCGAATTCAATTATTAAATGACTACAATCTCCACAAACCCCCATTCTGATAACAAAACATATATGTATATTTATAAGTTAATTGCGCAGTCACATTTCGTTATCGTCGTCAAATAAAGTCAACAAGACAAAATCTACCTCAGTCAGTCATTATATAGATATATATTTAGGTGATCATCAGTCGTTCCTATGGTTACTGTTATGATTTCAACTGAAACATCTAATAACAATAAATGTACTGATAGCCATAACATTTTGATAGTATATTATCTTATTGTATTCGGATATTCTTAACACAAAATACACAGTATTACGATAAATCCCTCTTTACTATACATTTTAACTGTAAATATTTGGTTGTACATACCTAAAGAAGTTCCCACTATTGATTATCTGCAGATTCACTAGTGAAGTTTTGGACCATTTCTATTAAGTTCATAAACGTTTTTTCTCATCACATAATATAATGAATGAACCAATCAAATTAAAAGAGGAAAATATACTAACTACTGTGATGGTCAGCTGCTTATAACCTGTTATATTTAAAAATCATAATTGCATAATGGATTTAAATTGCTTACTGAATATTTATCTTCTGAAGTTTGCTGAAGCCATTGCCATCAGGCGTCAAAAACCTGACCTATGTATTCAAAAGGAGACGGTGGTTAATCTTTCCTTGCCCTGGTGACAAATATTCCTTCACTGCACTTTAAAATTTTCTTTCTTTTTTCTGTTGCATTTATTACATCATTGACTCTATTTTATTTTTTCAACTCTTTCAAATTAATAATCTTTCAACTGAACTCTATTCACTACATTCCTTCAATATTATTCATTATGTAATCGATTGTTTCTAACCCACTTTTGAACTTTTGTCACAATTAATGTTGTAGAATATTCTTTCACATTAGGTATATATTTACAATATTGAGTTAGCAATTTAAACCCATTATGTAATTATGATTTTTAAATATCACAGGTTGTAAGCAGCTGACGAGAACCTACGAAATAAGATGAATTCATGCTATTCTGCTAGAATCTTTGTTCTTGCTCTTTCCAAAATGATAAAGGGAACTATGTGTATGAAAAATACTGTGATGGTATTTGATCATTTTTTGATAGATCCTAAGTTTTTCAGGAAATCTCATTCATACATCACATATACAGTTAACATGCGTAATGATGTAGGTAAAACAAAAGAAGTGGAGAATAAAGATATATACAGTTGGAAAATAGATGACTCAAAAATATAAGCAAATCAACTCAATCAAACGTAATATAGCTCATGAGGAAACTAATTTGACTGATAATGTTTTAAACTAAGCTCTGCTTATCCACAATGTTTTATTTATATGATTTGTTAGAATTGAGAATATTTAAGAAAGAGTTTATCAGATGATCAGGTAATAGCAACTATTATTTATTTCATTACTGTAAATAACAATTAACTAAATGGAATTGTTTATAGTTAAATTATACCCTAAATGTGTGTATAGTTATATTTGTATGAATTTAATTATTGCACACATTGTATTTCATCGCTTCATATTTAAACATCTGCATGTAAAATAAATATGTATATGTAAGTTTTCAAAAAAAAACTCATATTATGTTGTCTTGGTTACATAGTTAAACAAATTAAGAACATAAAACAGTGGATTATTCAACTATTACATGTATTAACCAAATATTACTCTAATTTTGCTTCTATTGTCTGTTTACCTCCTAATTCATTCTCATTTGAAGTAATGAACGGAACATGTTAAATAGTATAATCATTAAATTCAGCTTATATTTTGGTGTAATAACTCTGAGATAATTGTGTTTAGTATTGTTTGGCTATATGCTACCTGTCTGTTTGAACTTAATTTTATCAAATGTGTTCAATTGGTATGAGATTGATTTATTAATAATTGGATAGTAACTGTTTATATCTGTCTAGAAGATGATATTGGACATTTAACGACTGTGTTTAACAGTGATTTAATAAATTATATAATTTTCTTGTTTAATTCTTACCTAGTTCAAACTTGTGTTGTAATGGTCTCTTTTTTTCAAAATATATAAACCATATCTATGGTTATTATGGATTACTGTACGCGACGATCTCAGATTTAAAATGACTTCTGTCGCGTAACAGTTTCAAGTATCCTTCGAGTTCTGGTAATACATCTGAAGCACTTAACACTGAACCATTTATTATCTCTAACTCAGACTCTACTTTAACTTTTTCTATCTAGACATTCTAGCAGTATTATTAACTCCAGCGAAAATGTAACTCTGAACCTGGTACATAAATCTGTACCTAAGTAATTTACAGTCATTTGGATTATATCGATGTTTAATGTAGACCGTAAACCGATTTTTAATATTCATCACTTTATTTTGTCCTTTGTATTTGGTTCTTTTATTTTGGGAAAAATATAGGTGGGCTGTCATTGTACCTCCACCTAGTCCACTAATACATCCAACGGAAACTGTAAATTCTTCGAAAATCACATCATTACGAGATTTACCTGTTAACAAGACTTACATCAATGGTATTGACAAATATTCTGATGATAAGCATGCAAAGATTACTCCTACTAATAAATTATTTTGGTTACTGTCACTTTTCTTCACTGTTTTGTGTATACTTTCTGTGTTCGTATACTTCATCAACAATTTTGTGAAATCTAATACAATGAGCTGTTTAACATTGATTCCGAACTTTAAAACAATATGTAAGAATTTTAATATTGTATTATACAATATCGTTTCGAAATCGTACGCTACACATATCGACATGAAAAATGGTCGTCTGTCGACAAGTGCACTTAAAACAAAAACGGATCTGTCACAAGAAACAAGTTCAATAGTAGCAGGTCTTCTTCCATCGCACTTCGATACACCAGATTCTAGTGGTTGGGCTGGGTGTTCAGCACAAGAAGTTGGACAACCGGAACCAATTCGTTTTAATTTAAACAAAGTTTTAGGTCATGGGGCGAACGGTACTATGGTTTTTGCGTAAGTATATATTTCATAAATCTACTTATTGAATTATTCATTTTCTTTATGATAAAAGTTACTTGTTCATATGGTATAAATCTTTATATTAAGTCTCAGGACTTTTAATATTATCATTTTTGAAAATAGTAATCGGAAGCCTGTTTTTTCCAGATCTTAATATAACGTACCTGGATAATAATTTCCCAGTTATCAGCTAATCTTACAGTTACATCTGATAAATTACAAACAAGCGTGGTTGGATAAAAATAATAAACTGCACGGCGGTCTAGTCACTAAAATACTAGATGGTTAATGATCTTCTCTTTTTCACACACACACGTGTGACTCGAGGTTGGTTACATAAATCTGTACTTAGAAACTAATTTTGACTAAGATATTAAACTGATTGCTTGATATTCATCATTGAGTACTGTTGAGGCGTAGCATAGTAAGAATAATAAATTCAATAGATTGTCCTTTCATTTATGATTGGTCGATTTTTTGACGTCGCTTATGTAACGGGTTTTTTATATATTAAGAGTAAAGGTGTACTATACCAATGACCTTGAGTGGCCAATCAAAATCAAGGCAGATGGTGTTTAATTTTAGTGCAAATTAAAAACACTTAGGGGATGACTTGTTGTTAAATATCATATTTTTGTTTAGATTTCGGATTTTGAATGGTTTGGATGATCATTTTATTGTGCAATGAAGTGTTAGGGCCAGGATGTTAGCGCTAGGATTTTAGGTTTTGGAGTCAGGGTTTGCGATCCTTAGTGAATTTATCTTTCTTTTCGTCATATAGAGCGCTTTCACAAAGGTTGCATTCCGTTAGGTTGTGGTCATGGTCACTCTTAACTTCACTAGACTCTGTCAGTATAGTATACTTTTGCCACATTAAGTATTCTTTGGAATAAGCATATCTTCATCTTTCTGTAACAATATCTGTTTTGTGTAAGTAGTCATAAAATATGGGGACGTTTTCATTGTCACTACTATAAGAGGCCAATTTGTACGAATGAAATAGAAAGTTACTTTGTTTTTAGTGAAATGAAATTTCATGCTTTATCATCATAATTATATTTACCAAGCATTAAAATATTGCAAAACAAGTGCGGACTAACAACGTATAAGATTCATTTCCACATGATATCATTGTCTCTGTTTAATTAAATGCAAATATTTGCAGGTATCTTCTAGATTGTAAGCTCTGCCTTCGTTTGACTGTTCGTCAAGACATTGTTGTTAGTATTTTTAAGTTTATAGTCGATTATATCAATTTGGTATATTATTTTTCGTTTCTTCAAGACACGTTTAATAAAGTTATGACAGTAGTTTGTACCAATATTTTTAAAACATAAATCCTATAATTATCATCAGCTCATTTGCCAGCTACATATTAGTGTTATTGGCATCAACTGAGGGCTAGTAGTACTAGTACTCAGTTGCCCAAACCGAAGTTGGTGGAGCGGGGGTCGAGCCTTAGTGCTTGAAAGTTGAACACCTTGACTACCGAGTCAATAATTCTCTGGTTTCTGTTTAGACGAATTCATGTCATTCTGTGTGTGTGCATTCACTGTTTTTGCAGGTTCGTTAGCTAATTTGAATTACATTACAGCTCTGCTACGTTACAATGTTTACTAGCTTTCTTGAAAATGTTTTTTTTGTTAAAACTTAAACTGGACGGATGGAATTTTTTTTCTTTTCTAATGAAGTGGAACTTATGGACCACATGAAACCGCTGTTAAACGTATTGTAAGACATCCTTTATTAGAAAAACATTGGCGTCGTGAACATGCCATATTGTTAAAGCATCAGCATCCACATTTAGTTCGTTGTTATTGGACAGTAAGTTGGTTTTTATAGTGAGTTAGTTCTTTTGTTTTTGATGAAACAAAGTATTGTAATATGAGATATAACATCGTATTGTTTTGATATCTTTCTGTCTTTGGAATACAAGTATGCTTATATATTCATTCACTGGAAGACAATGGTTTTGTGATTAGAGTAGAGTACTGAATTTTTATTCACTTGAAATTTCAGGTTCTTACTCCTGCTTAACCTGCCACAGTTGAATCACCTGCATAATATCACTAATTCTTAAACTAAAAGTTGGACACATGCACTTGTATTTGGTTCATGAGTTATATTTAAATGTTCTACATTTACTTTAATCCAGAAATTGTTATATTTTTACAAAATACAACTTTCCCACTACATAATTTCAAGTACAGTATCGTACAAATGTGTATATATTTTATTTGCGTATATGTGTTTATAATTAGCCAAGTCTAAATCTTGCACTTAAACGAATAGATGTCCATTCTGATGAAATGTCTGATTTTAGAGTTAAAAATATATGTATTGTTCTCTACTCCTTCAATTCTTCAAATGATAATAGTTTATAACAAGGTAAATAATCTGTTTATAGTACTCAGTCAACTTATTTCTTTTTGCCTTTATAGGGTAGTACGGCAAACTTTCACTATTTAGTAATGCAAAGGTGTTCATTGAGTTTAAATGAAGCATTAACATCCATGAGTTCATCAAATGCATTGCAATCAGATGAAATCAATTCAACTGATCTCATTAGGACATCTTTACTCAATGATTTGGGTTTAACTCCAGTACAAATTATTCATCAATTTATTTTAGCTGTTGCATGTTTACATCGTAATCAAATTGGTAAGTCACTAGATCCGTTGTTTTTGTCTAGTTTTCTTTCATCTTTTTTTTATTCTTGCTTATTAATCCATAATTTTCAATATTTATCCACTTTACGTTAATTCATGATGCAAAACTAACTTCAAATTCATTTAGCCTTTGTTTCATAGTTCTGAGTTGTCTAGCTAACATTTACTCTACTCTTTTTCCTTGTTGATGTACTTGAACCTATATAGATTCGTTCCATCATGTCCTACTTAGTTTATAGTTGACTGATTAAATTGGTACTTTACTGTCTTTTTCAGTGTATGACTGTGAAACGTGTCCTTTAAATATAAGGTATTTGTAGGTTACTTTTATCCGATCAAAGATGCCTTAAAAGCATTATTTGCGTATGTCTGAATCACTGAGTGAGGTATACTGAAGTTTGATGTTGTTTACTAGCTAAAGATAACATCAACTGATATTATCGCGGATCTTCATCGACTGAGATAGGTAGGACACGTAATACATATACCTAATCACCGTCTGCATCAACAAGCTAGTGTAAGAGTAGGTTGGAAAACAACTAGAGTCATCCCAAATAAGACGTAAGATCAGTTCATGTCAGTGACGGTTGGATTGTAGATGAGTTGTCTGGTTAAGTTCCTCAAGATTATCGTAACTAGTGGTTGAGATGTTGGGTGACATGGTTCAGAATCTGTCATAATGGCATTGATGCATTTACTCTTCTTCTTTTGGATCCTGTCTTATAATTTTTTGAATTTTAATGGGGCTCACGCAATGAGGCCGCTTATTATGAAAGCAGTTATATTAGCTATTCCGATTATTAATTTATTCCCCTGTATTGCATGTAAAACCTGTAACTGCTTTATCCAATATTATGTGACTGTAAATAATAACCAGACAACCTTAATACTCATTAGCCCACAAGTTTCTTCTACGAATAAGACAAAAATATAAACCAACTAGTTCTCTGTTGTACTCTTGCTCATGCAGTCATAGACTTTGAATACCTAGCCGCACAACATCAAATAAGACATTACATTGTATATGCAACCCAGTCTTATGTGGCTCAAAAACGGAACAGTACTTAAATAATTAATTAATGATAATTATTGGACAGTAAGAAATACAACAATCAAATAAAAGCTTACAAATAGGCGTATATTAGAATATACTACTCCAATCATCTAGTGATTTCATATAATTGGTCCGCTTTATAACCAAAATGAAAACACTGATTTCTCTCATGATAGTTCCGAAAGTTCAACGTTGCTCAAAATCTGTTTGATATATCATATCCTTAGTTTCAAAATTATTGTATGCTGTTTTTTGTTCTACAAATTCATTCTTCTTGAATTATACAATCTATAGCTAATGTTTTCTATTACCACCGATACTGTTACTATTGCTACCACTCTAATGTTTATCTTGATAATTTCATATCACACTAGGTGATATGGTGTAGTGACTTTCACTGGTCCATGTATATTTGCCAGATCTTGTGTTGTTTATGATTGACTAAATAAATCGGTTATATAAATTACTAAGTAAACATGTTATACATGAAACAGTTTAACCTTTGTTTTTGAAGTTAAACCAAATTATAATTTATTGCTATAGTATTTTCTTTTAAAAAAATATTGTAAGGGAAATTAATCTAAAGCAATCGTGATATTTCTACGTGAACAGACACAAATTTCTGGATCTGTAAAAAGTAGATTTATTATTACATTTAACAGTAAAATATATGCAACGAAATATTTCTTTTCACTTAACTCATTATATATCGCTTTATACAATCATTAACAACAAAATCACTACCAGTCTAACTGTATGGTGATTTAGTGTAATATTACTCGTATTAGTAACTTAAATGGTGAATATAACGTTCAAAAGTTAACGTTTTACACAAAATTTAACAGCCAATTAAGAGATTATGTGATAAGTACCAAGAACGTTCAAGTGAATAAGTTGATTTTTATTAGAATAGTCCCAAAATATCCCTCATCAAAGTCTCTAGAGGCCCAGAAACTCTAGTAAACACTTTATCCAATCAGCACTGAATATAAGCTTCGTAAAAAAGCATCTAGAAAATTCAGAATCACGCTCCATGGTTTTGATCGAATATTTACCTATACTGCTACCATGTTAAGTATGGCTTCGAAAATTTTCATAGGCTCAGGGTCGTGTGTATTTCTATCTATACCCTCGTTTTTCCGTACATAAGTTAACTGTCAAGGAAAGCTCTTACTCGCATTTCGCGCCTTTCCTCTGTTGCTCCAGTTGACATAAAAAGTTATTTGGGATTATCAGAATCGGATAAGAAGACAGTTTAGGTGGTATCGGTGGCAAAACTTACACGTGTAGAATAGAACTGTAATTGTTACATCATTTTTTGTGTACGCATAAAGCATGATAAATAAAGCAAATTGAGAAACTAGTCGATTATTTATTTACTTATTAACACAGTTTCTGTAAAAATTATAGGGTTAAAAATACCAGTCTGATGCAGAACTTTTACATGCCCTGGTACAGTCGAGGGTGGGGAGAGTCAGCTTTCCCTCTCGAAATGCTCTCACATGACCACACGTATAAAGCCACTATCATGGATGTCCTACTCACTGCCTTCTCGCAACACGGGTGTTGGTTACGAAATTGAGAGGACGAAAAGCGAATGTCTGGCGCTTTAGCCGGGTCGGTAGATATGAAGGATCCACTCAGGGGAGTTGGAAAGTCCTGATTCCAAACCAGTGGTGCATATGGGCCCCAAGATCCTGAGGAAGCAAATGGAGAATGAACCTACTGTTGGTTACCATCTACCATGGGACTGCATCTCCTTACGTTGTTCCATTGCCTTGTGGATTAGATCTCTGGGTCAAAGGCTTAGAGAATAACCCCTTAAGTAAACCACTCGCTTCGGTTTGGTCGCTCGGGCAGTATGTCAGTCCCCACATAAATCGAATGATGAAGTGTTGTGCATATATATCTGGTGCCTCCTTGTACCAATGTTTATGTGTCTAAATAATTTAAAAACTTAACTGTGAAGACAATCACTTTTGGAATCTCATTTTGTATTTAATTTTTTTAAATTATAGTTCATCGAGATTTGAAACCAAGTAATATACTTATAATTTTGGATAATAATTCTAATAAAGTGAATAATAATAATTCAACCGGGAAAGCACGTGTTGTAGTTGGAGATTTCGGTTTATCTCGTCCATTACCTACAGATCAACACGAACAACAACATCAAGATACATTCAATTCAATTGGACCGCACATTTCTGTGAAAATTCAACAAATTAAAAGTCGTTCACTCTCTTCAACATCATACCAAAATGACAGTAGTGTTGAATTTAACTCATCTGAGAACGATATACAATCGGATGTTACTAGTGTTACTAATAATAATAGCAGTAATGTTTTTGGTATAAGTGTAAGATATGGTGACAAAGAAGAATATACTTCTGGTATTGTTAATAATTCCAGAAACCCTAATGTAAATAACTATCATAGTGATAAAAATCAAGTATCAGATAATAGTGTATGCTTCACTTTTGGTACACTTGGTTGGATGGCACCTGAACTGTGCGATGCAGAGTCGGCCTCACAAGTGGTAAGGTTTTTTACACTTTCAGTAAACATTATACTTTAATTTTTTCAAAAAATAAATGTACAGCCTTTCAGAATGTTTTTGAATGTGTACCAAAACCGATAAAAATGTATTAATGTTTGTTGGATGAACCTATCCGAGACCTTTTCAATGTTCAATAATTATGCGATGTTTAGCACTTCCAACCACCTTTCTATTCATTTAGTGGGTGATTCCAGCATATTAAAGTGTAGTTCTCATCAGAAATTTCATTTCAAGCTCTAACGTGCACTCTTTTTTTCTCATCGGGTATATCGGACTGCGCTAGACAGATAATCGCGGCTAACTCCAAATATTAGCAAAATGAAACGTCAACAAGTCGAAATAATAATAATAATAATGCTAGAAAGAAAAACACAGGACAAATAACTCAATAAGAGAAATTGAAGTCGATGAATTTATGATGTGATAAATAATATTAAAGTTTTAGATTTAGAATAGAATAAAGGATAAACAAATCTTGGTCATAACTATTAATTTTAGTCCCATATCCAATCAAGTCTCTAACCATAGAGTAAGATTATTCTGCGAACTTCATTCGGAAAGGGATACATCACTATCTATGTCATTTAAATTTGTTTTAAAACTGTCCATAATTAGTATAATCAACCAGTTAGTTACGAGAGGAACAATTGATTGTAAAGAGTTTTTTTAATTAAGTTCCTTAATTCATTCATTTAGTTTTTGTTGTATGAATTGACATTTGTTGACTATAAAGTCGTTAATCTTGTCATTATTTACGTGCAGTTTATATTTTTTCCAATTTATTAACAATAAATACTCTTCCTTAACAGGAGCAAAAGAAAAACATACAGCTTAAATTAAGAGAATATTTAACAATTAATTTCATGTTAAACTTTCGATTTATAAATTTATACCTGGTTCATCAATCCGCCTTTCTGTCTGTTCTCTTTTTATACAAACAGACTTGTGCAATTGATATATTCGCTTGTGGTCTATTGGCTTATTATGTTTTAACTTATGGTAAGCATCCATATGATTGCTGTAGTAAAGAGTTGAATAAATTTCAAATTGACAAAAATACCCTATCAACAACTGTATGTTCGTCAGTGTCATCCTCGTCATCTTTTACTACTACTGGTGTTGGTGGTGGGGACAGCAGCTCTGACACCGTAAATGAAGTTAAATCATTCAGATGTACCACTTTAAGCCGTCAACATGAACGACAGTTGGCAATAGCTGAAGGTCGTCTACCTAATTTGGACACTCTGACCGAGAATCCAACCAATGTTCATGAAAGTAAAGAGTTACTTTTCTTGTCTATGTTTTAATATTGTGTTTGTTCTGTATGTATTCATCATTGTATCATGCAACACAGAGTAGTAGCGTCTTACAAACTAGTGTACTCATCTCCAACTACATTTTTTATGTGGAAGCTAATGATGACACTTGTATGTACAGACTGTATTAAGTAAAGCAATGTCCAGACCCAATCTTTAAAGTTGAACTCTAACTACTAAAACGTCGCTTATTAGTCTCTACATCAGTTGATTCGCACTTGCAAATTGTTTGATATTATGATTTAATGCCCCACTGTGTTATGTATAATATTTGCTTTTCCTTCAAACAATCACGGTGCGATTAATAATAATAATAATAATAATAATAATAATAATAATAATAATAATAATAATAATAATAATAATTATTATTATTATTATTATTATTATTATTATTATTATTATTATTATTATTATTATTATTATTATTATAATAAATATCATTTATAACACTGATACTACTAAGATTAATTTGGCATTCACGTTGATAATTTAATCGCACCCTTCTAATGTAATGTAACAACTTTTACCAATGCACATTAGCGCTGAATTCTACATGACTCTACTCTCTGCAGAACTTTGATTAAGTACAAATGAATTTGAAACTTGTCATGTTATATAACATTTATTTAATTAACTCTATTGAAATCTTCTCTTCATCATGATACACATATTCATCTTTAATCACCGTCGTTGTAAGTAGCTGATGAGAACCTAACGAAATAAAATATATTCATATTGTTCTGCACCAATCTTCCTTCTTGCTTTCTTTAATATAATAGTCATTAATCATAAAATCCAAAATATGCATTTTTGTTTAATGTATTAATTATCTTGGCTTTATCATAATTCATTACAATAGTAGTGCATAATATCACCATCAGAAAATTCAATGTAGATCAAATGAATCAATTACTCAATATGCACTCATTCACGGGATTTTCATTGAATCAAATTTATATGGAGTTATTTTCAAATAAATGTGTGTTAAACGCCTATACAATGAGATGAATTTCTATAAACTTTGTTTTGATGATGGTGGATGAAACATTCATTCTAGATCCCACTACTGGCCACCATCCATCTGTGCTTATAATGCTTATAACTGAGAGTAATATCGAGGTGATCCACACATATACCCTTGCCAGGGTAAACATAGCCCTATAAATAGGTTCTGAGATAAAGTGTAAATCTAAACTTATGAACACACTGATAAACCACGAGTGGTAATTTTTACAACGGTCAGAAGTAAAGAACTGTTGATTATTACATGACTTCTACTTCCTCATTCACGGTTAATCGTTTGTAATCTGATAAATCATCCTACCTCAATAAAATATCCTGTGTAGAAATAATAACTCTAACTACTTAATATAAATTGTCTTGTAGTTCTGTTTTGTTTTATTTTGGAAATCTATACTGTTGGAACTTCTTTGATGCTTCATACTGAGAATAAGTTATCAGTTTAATCCACACCTACCATTTCAGTATCCTATCAAATCAATTATTCCGTTATGTTCAGAAGTCATTATTTGTTCATTCTACTATTTATTTCATACTGGTCATTCCTATTTGCTTCTTTTATTCCATTTTGATTATAACGATCTTTGTATAAAGTAGTAAATAACAAGACTCACTTTTTGTCAACTATTCCTAAGGTTTAAAAAGTATCCACTGCGTTATCATACAGTGTATACGAATCGACTCAAGTTGAATAATATCGGCACAATGTGTATCATGCTCATTGGAAGAACACCTGCTTTTTCCTATGATTTTGTAGCTAATAAATTAATTTGTGTAACGAAAAGTTACTTATAAATGTTTCATACACATAGTTCCCTTTATCATTTTGAAAAGAGCAAGAACAAAGATTCTAGCAGAATAGCATGAATTCATTTTATTTCATTTGATTGTTGTCAACTACTTACAACCTGTGATATTTTAAAATCATAATTACAAAATGGGTTTAAATTATTTACATGAAAGAGTTTAGTTGGAAGTTATATTGAAGACACATTAGTATAGTATAGCAAGGATGTAAATACATTTCATAGATTGAATATTGTAAATACATACCTTATGTAAAGGGAAATTTTACAACATTCATTCAAACGGCCAGTAACAAGTGATTACATGATGCGTGAACGCTGATAGGAATAAAAGGAATAAAGCTCAGTTAATAAAATAAGATTACTAATCTAGAGGACTTTTATTATTATTATGATTATTGTTTTACTCAACCACACCCATTGTTAAAACCTTTATTGAAAACAAACAACGTCATTCATTCACACATTTTTTTCATTAACGAAAGCACTAAATAAATTGTATTTATAAATTTAGTTTCCAGTTAGACCTATAAAACATCTGTGTGTACACAAGACTTATTAGAATTGAACGTGTAAACAAGTTTTCTTTCTTAAATGATTGTTTATTTGTTTACTCCCGTAAGCAATGAGAATAAAACATACAAAGAAGAAGAAGAAGAAGAAATAGGTCAAACTGGCATACCTTTCACCTTTTTCATTTTTGCTATTACAAATTTATTTAAGTATGAACTTTCTTTTCAAAAATGAATGGTGTTGACTTAAAAAAGTAAAATAAACTGAAAAGGTAATTATACTTGCAAACAACGGAAATCATGAAGTTTTGGCAACAAAAAAAAAGAAGAATATAACAACATATTCTATAAGACTTAGGTATGTTATCAAGTTTGGATAGTGACTGGCACTAAAATCCAAGAGGAGTGTGCCGTCCTACTTGGAACTCATCAATTGAATGTACTTGTATTCTAGTATTAATCTTTATATTAAGACACAAATCTGATGTGTTTTGATTCAAAGGTTACTTTTATTACTCACTGAACTACCGAGTCCAGGTAGCCACTTGATTTTGCGATTAGTATGAATTTTGTTTTTAATGGTTTGCGTTTTCCCGTTGTTTTTTTTTTTGTTACGGACTACAATTTTCTATTAGTGTATATACTTTCTGACCGAATTGCCTTGATGTTACCGCACAAATCTTTACAAACAAATCATTTTATCATTAGCGTAAGAAGAAAATCGAAAATATGATTGTCCACAATAGCCTTGGTTTTTATTAAGCTGTAGCATCATGTAATGTTTATTCCGGTTCATCATTTTGTAGATCAATTCACGTCTAATTAAATTGAACAGAATAATGCAGTGCACTACTACTACTACTATAAAAATCTACGATTAACAGTAGAGTTCAAGCTAGTCACCTAAAAGCTGAGGGTTTAATTTACTTAAAGTCCAGAAAAAGGCTTGGTTGTGTAATCAAAGTGAATAAATGTTTGTTGTACCTTATTTCCTTCTCATAGTAATTGAAAAGAAATTTTGGATCCGATAATCAGTTGGCAATTTAATGACTATTTACTTTGTGTGATTTTTAATTGTTAATAGTCAGGATTTAATTCCGATCAGTTTGTTGTTATATGTACTTCCTAAGCGACTCCCTCAATATTGCCTTTTACTTACAAGTTTTAGTCTTAAATAGCATCAGACTCACATATTGATAGTCCACTGCTAGCCATATTTTATCTGTTTTATATAAGTTTCAGCTTATTCGAATGGTAACTAATAGTGGAATTCAACGTCTACTAGTTTTTTCAATGAAAATATGTACTATAATTAATCATGACAATTACTTATATACTCTTTTGTAGTTATATAGTGTTAAGTATTAATAACTATTTATTTTATCCTCTTGGTTCGATTTAGTGGCTAATACTCTTTCTAACATTTATTTAACTAGTTATACAGATTTAGAAGTCAAAGATGGCATAGCAAAGTCTAACCGTAAAGTTCACTTGAGTCATTTTTACATATTTACAATACTAGAATGGTTCACACAAGTATATATATGGGCAAATATCTTTACCAGATAAATAATCTACACGCCGATAGTAAACCTACCAAGCCTTGTATTTTTCATTTACAAAGTGTTTTTATGGACGGCTTGTAATATGTCTAAACTTACCCGATGTTACATCTCCCTCTTTGAGACTTCTTCCTCCTATGTGTTTGCTTATGCCATTTGATGTGGGAGTTTACCAATTTCGTGTCCTTTAGACAATTCACTTATTAAATTTCTTCGTAGTTTATGGTACTTATTGGCCATCTATCTTAAAGTTATGTGAATTACTCTTCTTTATATATAGAAATGCAGAAGAAATCATTTCAACCAAACAATGAATTTTCTTCCCAGATCATTTTACATCATAATTCCACTCAACATGGTAATATAGTTCACAATCGTAAAAAAATTACTAATAACCACTGAATTTTTTGAGTAGTTGTGATGTATGATACTCATTCTCAGTTCCGTCAATCAAAACTTGACTATTTTTCACAGACGTTTTACTAATTTTTGATAAGTAGTTAACGGAAATATTTTAAATATATGTATCGCATTTAATATCATGTTCCCAATCCGTTCCTGATTTTAAAAAACTAATGTAAACTTGTTAGAATGCCTTTCTATGATGAATGTTATAGGAATATAAAAAGTACGGACTCTAGACTCTTGTATAGCATTTTGAGTTCAAATACACATTCTCTTAAATAAGTTCAACAGCAAAGTAATTTATGTTGACAATTAAACAATGTGACATACAGAACTGGTAAATACTGTACAACATAGGAAGTCTGGAGAATTCTACAAATTATTCTACCTGTTGACTACATGTCACACTGGAGCTTTTCAAATGGTTTCTTGTCGTTTATTAGTAGAGTTATCAAATTGTAATTCTGATGTTTTTATCATGAAACGTGGTATGAAGAGAATCCCGGTTGTCGTACATCAATTTACTTCACTTTTTGATACTGTTTTTTCTTTCCTCTTAATGTGAATATGGATCATAATATTTTACTTTATCCTATAATAATCCTGTCTATAAAAGAATTAATATTAGACAATCAAAGATATATTTCACTGGTGTTCCCTTTCAAATATTCTCCATATGTAATGCCATCACTGAGAAGAATTGTAGAATTTTATATTAAGCAACTTGTATATATGTATCAATTGATATTAAAAATTTATGTGATTTACATTACCAAGTTACAGTTGGTTTCACTTTGTTTTGTGTTATGAAAGTAGAAATGTTGGAAAAAACTTATTATGTTAATTACTTATAGTGACATCTTTTGTTTTCTTTATATGTAGCTGTACACTCAAAATGTTAAGTTTTCCTATAATTGTTTTTGTACCTTTCTGTTTTATTCCATCTCATCTCTATTTTAGGTTATTTAGCTCGTTACCTTGTACAAACAATGCTTTCATCAAATCCTAATGATCGACCAACAGCTGAAGAGATCACTTACTATCCATTGTTTTGGTCACCAAATAAAGTCATACGCTTCATATCGGTAAGATATACATATGTATGGTTCTGTTTTTAATCATTTTTTTTTCAAAATCTAACTATTTGTTTTTATTATTTTGATTAAAAAGGTTTTGAATTCGTAAATATTTCACTGTTTTCTAATTTCATTTCCATTACATATTTTCAATTTGTGATAAATGCACATAACTGTAGATACATTAAATAAATAATTCCAATGGTTGAGATCATGAGTCAATATCCACAAAACCCTTCGGATATGAAGTAATTCTATCTTTGACGAAATGAAAATTTAGATAATACAATGAGAAGATGAAGTTTACCAGGACTATATGATAACATTAACACAATAGATTCAAGTGTATTTACACTAGGGATACTACTGAATAAAAGGTAGAGTTGTTAGCTGAAACATTAGGGAAAAGTGGTTATTTTTAAGCAGAAGTCCCTATACCATGAGACTTGATGAAAATCCAAAGCTGCTTTATGCCTTCGAAAATAATTTCTTCTCACTTTAAGCCTACCCTGTTAATAATGATCCTTTTCCTTATTATCTCTATTTCCCTCTTATCTTCCAATTTACCTAGTTCACCTTTTATTTTTCAAGTAAAGACTTCTTAACAAGTATATGTGTGTTCAAATTATTCGAAATGGATTACGTTAATTTATCTCACATAATTGTGATTAAATATGCTTTCTTATCGTATTATCCAAATTTATCAAGAGAACTAATTGTTTTAAATGTAGTAGGACATTGATTAGATTGCAATGTTCAAATAAACAAAAGGGATAAAGGATAAAGCGATTGACTAGATTCGAATCATGATTGTGTGCTTTTAAATCATCTTGTCAAAGATTATCTTGTAGACTACAATGAAAATGCCCATATTTTAAGCATTAAAAAAGGCACTGTCTCCCTTTTGGTTTGCGTACTCGGGATATTATTTCACTGTAGTTATATATTCTAGTTCAACTTCATATATTAAGGGGTGTGAAGTGACTGGAGATCAACTTACATTCTTTAGTAGTTACAACATTCAAATGCTTCCGAATTGATCGATTAATTTACTTTCGTCTGTCTCAAAAATCTTAAATCCCCATATTCACATGAAATAAATGTGTACTACCATTCCATTATTATTAGGTGCTTTTCAAATTTACTAAGAAATATTTTAAATCTAATATTGTAACTATTAAAAAAAAAATAAGAAATAGGGGCATTGGAATTATATTCTTTCACTTACTTATTTACATAATACCTACAATAACCATTATTTCTTTGCTCTCATTTATATCAAGGAATTATCAAATGTTATGGATATTAAAGATTTATCATTTGATATTCCATCTCAAATTGGCACTTCTACTAATCATTCAGTTGACGCTGCTGACGGAAACTGCACTCAAGACAATAATAATAATAATAATGGAAGCAGTACACCTACTACTAATTATCAGTCAGTCAGACAACAACATTTCGATAATTATCATCAACAACAAATGTTAAATGATCTTATTCGTTATAGAAATTGGGTATTTAATGAACATTGGTTTGCTAGACTAGAACCTGAACTAGTTGATAATTTATTGAGTAATAGAAGCTATCAAGTATGTCTTTGTGCGTGTGTGTGTGTTTCTGTTTCAATGACGTGAAAACTTTATACCGATAATCTCTGTATTTCATGTATTCTTTTTCTAAATACATTTGATCTTTTTATTTTCTTCGAATATACTATATGTTCAATAAACTTACTGTTTAAGCAACCTTGTTTGCTATCTTATATAAATAACCAAGGTCACACAACATTGTTATTACTGTTTGTTTATTACTTCACCTTAGGATACTTCTCTTTTATACCTTCTACGTGCTATACGCAATAAACATAGTCATTTCTGGTCATTACCAGAACATATTCGTGCAATCTATGGTTATAATCAAGAAGGTATGTCAATTTATTGGACAATGCGTTTTCCTGCTCTTCTACCGCTTATCTATGGTTTATGTAATAAACACTTTACTGGTACTATTAATTTTTCGGAATTTCTACCTCCAAAATCAATCTGTAAAATATTTGTCGGTGTTCCAAGTAAGCGGTTAAATAGTTTTTTTTCTCTTTGTAAACAGAGATTCTATTTTATCATGATTGTATTATGTAATCTGTTGTATATCGGTTTGTAAATTAAACATTAACAAATATTATAGAAAGGGTAGACTATAAACCCCCAAATGCCCTGGTATGGCCGAGAGTGGGGTGGGTCTGCCCTCCCTCTCGAAATGCTCTCACACGGCCGCGCGTATACAGCCTCTGCCGAGGAATTCCTACTCACTGCCTTCTCGTGGCATTACTGTTGTTTTCGAAAAGCGAATGTCCGGTGCTTTAACCTGATCACAAACCAATGGTGCACATGGGCTCCAGTATCCTGCGGGAACAAATGGCGTATGAACCAATCGTTGGTCACCGACTACCATGGGACTGCATCTCCTCACGATGCTCCACTGCCTTGTGGATCAGACCTTTAGGTCATAGGCTCAGGATGTGGCCCTTTAAGAAAACCACCTGTTTCGGTTTGGGCACCCGGACAGTATCCCAGCCCTCGCAAATTCGAATCATTTATGTGGCGCATATTTACTTGGTTCCTCCTTGTACCAATGTTTATGCGTTTAAATAATAATAATAAGACTATAAATGTACGTTATCAGTTATTGTTGCTGTTGTGTTTTTTTTGTATCACATTTCTGATAAGTACAATGTATGCATGTTTGTTATGAATTTCAGAAAACCTTTAGTAACACTGATTCAAACCAATATTAAAGCGTTATCACTTCTTCCAGATATGCATTAAATGAAAGTGAATTTGTCAATGTTTTTCTTTAAGACATAAGGCAAATACTTTTTTTTAAATACTGACAATCTTACATTGTAAAATTCTACACATATAAATTGAAACCTTTCTTCCTTACTTCAAACTCATCATGAGCGTAAATCTTTAACTCGTTACACCAAATTCCATAATTATGGACAAGAAGTAGACCTAATAGTTAAAGTCTAAACTGATTGGAAAATGATTGATCTACAAACTGATTTTCTCCAATCACTTATAAGATTTTATTATGTTATTTTTCGTATTAATATGGTGTTGCTTAGTCGTTCTTTTTTATCTCAAATTACAACATACTTATTTACAATGTAATTGGATTCGTCTTAAGCACTTCTCTATATAAGAAATATATGTATAGTTAGTGCCACCACTGTAAGCCAAAGTGCGGTTTACTTATTCATGTATCATACTGCTATGTTTGAAGAGATTGCAAATTCACCTAGTCTGCGAACGAAACAAAAACTCTGTGACCAAAGACCAATAAGCTAGCTATTCTGATGCATCATAACCCCGCTAACTAGAGAGAGAAGTCGAAGTTCGAACGGGGAAATATATCCCTCAAGCAGCCAGAATCACAAGCGATAACAGCAGGCACAAATCAAATGTATATATACATCATAAAACTGTCCTTCGGAAGCGTTGCAAAATACCATACTAAAGGGGGGTACTACGGACCAATAACGTTTAAGATTCTCCCAAGTTGAAAATACGACGTGAAGGTGAAAAGAGCACTTGTGGCGTAAAAACAAAGAAATTCAATTTTTTTTAATAAAATTACAAAAATAAGGTATTTACCAAGTCAGTTCTGAGTATCTAACATCCCCAACACATACATGATAAATAACAAATTATAATGTATGAGTTTATCGTTTTGAATTAATTCACATCTATTTTGAATTTAAAAAATATTTCACATGGCAAACGAATGATAGGGATACTTAATAAATATATTCTTGTTTATGGTTAATTATAGTTTTATGATTGATTAAGTATAGTTCCCAATAAAAATCAAAGAAATTCTGGATACCTAGGGTAGTAATATTTTAATTAAGCTACGTATCTGTAGGTACATTTCCAGTATTATTGTTAAACTTGCTTTAATCCATGGAACTTGACTTGTGAGTTAGGCATGAACATTAAAATGATCGCGATGAATTTCAGCTTACTTTTAGTCAGTTAGAAAATATCTACTGAAAATGAATAGTTTATAAGTCGAAACAATGTTTTAAAAGGTAATTAAATTTTATATAATTAATGAATTTATATTGAAATCTCCTACAGGATTTCCTGCCTATAAATCGGAAAAACAACTACATGAATATAAAATATCCGTCTTTCAGAATTCTTATAGGGACTCAAATAAACTTTTAGCAACCCTGCATGTTCCTAGTTAGGGTTCGCATTAGAAGGAAGGGAAAGCAGAGTTTATCTTCATGTTATATCAAATCTATATCAGAAAAGAAATGAATATGTGATACATTTCACACTCATTTCCACTCTATGATTTCAATAATAACTTCTTATGTTTTTCAACATTCGGAGAACTACATAGAGATATTTCTACTGCCCAGTTTGTGCGGTGAAAAATGTGTCATCATGTTGTTTAAAAGAAAAATTTGAGCAAATACACAACAGTTGGTTTCTTAATTCTAATCGGGTCGTCCATAAGTTGCACTTCTACTGTGTGTAATCTATTCTTAAGTTGTCTTTTTCATCCTAGCTGTTCATTTTCTTCATTGTATCATTCGTTATTTTGTGTTTTATTAAGTTTCATCAGTTCTGTGTAAAGATTTATTTCCGAGTAGTTTTGTAGATTTAATCTACTGAGTAATTGTATGTCTAATCAGTTCTCGTCGGTTAATACAGTAAATTTACTAGTCACTTTTGTTAATTGTTCATAACAGTTATAGATCTATGTGATTTCATCATGATCCTTGTTATGTATTTATTTTAAATTAAGAAAATTTTATTGTGAGATAACAATAAGTTTTTCACTATAATACAGAGAAATAGTAATGTACAAGTGTTAACGGTAAATGAACTAACTAACAATGTTATAGTTTCAAGGATGTAGGTAAAACCTGTTAACTAGAGACACTATCATTTGACTTCAGTTGTTGGTAAGGATGAATATTCACAGTGGTTGTCATATAGCTAGGCATGGAATGATTATTAATTGGAATTTAGTAAGTGAATAAGAATTTTAGTCCTTCAAATGAATGAGTAAAGTGCTGATAGATAGACTTAACGCTATGATAAGTTATGTCCAAGTGATAAATTTTGATAAAACTGAATAGTTGCTGTAGTCCCCAAATTGAAGGGATATTAGAAGAAAAGACAACTATAAACACGATCTGAATTTGTTTGGTGTATACATAAGCTATATGTTGTTCACTCTTCAATATCTTATTATCATGCTTAATTCTTGTCCTATCATAATAGCAATGAATAAAAATCACATCTTATATGATACCCGTTTTTTAATCGTTAAATCACATTCTAAGTACCATTTGTGAATAGTTGCTCACTTTGTTGGTATTTTTCTTTATTATTGATTATTAACAAAGCAAATTGTCCATGGTGGCCTATTTGGAATACCTCTAGTACTGATAATAATGAAATAGACGAAATTTCAATTCAAGAGAACAATTCAATAAAAGCACATGTTCAGTTTAGTCAAAATGCAAATAAATCAAAGAATTTAGTAAGTGGTTTCAATATGTAATTGATATGCTAAGTGTTTATAGTTGCTCAACATTGAATTCAAATAAATTAAGTTTTTTTTCTAATATTGAAAGCGTGTACATTGTTCAATGTGCACATTCCAGAAAAAGAGATTACACTTATTAGACTTTGATACCATAAAAAGAAATCTAATAAAATCTGCCTTTAACAATCAATTAATAACCATGGTGATTTTTGTTTTAAATATTCAACTCGAAAATAAAACCCACTTGTTTAAATTACAACACTTATCTGATCATTCATTGTCTTCTATGAGATGACTTTGAGAGGCTAATCATAGAAAAATTCGAATTGAAAATAACAAATTGTAATCATAGTTTGGAATAAAAGTTTGATGAAAGATAAGGCTTATACAGTATCATTGATCATTGACTACTGAACTTGTTTGTTTACTCCTTCTGAACATAAATGACAAGGTTTAACTGTATTACTTGAGATGTTCTTTGTAAATCAAACTGAAAATATATTCTTTATTGATTATGTGGTGAGCATGTTTACATCATGCTATATGATGAAGATTTAAACTTTTCTTTATTGGTTTGGTTTTCGTAAGGCTTAGATTATGTGGAATGTGTCTTAAAGTGTACTGTTAATATACAACCTGTATCTCCGGAATATTTGAAACTAATTACACTAAAGTTGAGTTATTAAACGTATTGATTGATTGGATTGTTTGAACTTTATCACAAAAGATTTTTGAGATTGGTTTATTAAAGTGTGATATCTACTAATTGAATAACGATGAGACACATTTCTGCATTGAATAAGTTTACCAAAACATTTATTATATAGTGTATAATGTTTCACTCACATACGTCCACTTTCTATCTTTAGTATGTGAATAGTAGATGGAAACGTGGTGACATTATGCCCTCCTATTCTTTGGAACTAAGTAAACCATACAATAAACCATCAGATATAATGAATAAATCACTTAAAATCTCAGTAAAACATGAATGTGATCAAGAATTAAAATATGAAACGATATATCCTAATGAAGTGGATCCCAATGATGATGTTTGGAATAATACTATTGTTAATAGTAGTCATAGACGTCGTCGACCTAACCAACCTAAAAAAATTCGTCCTTCTAAAAAACAATTCACTATACAACGACGTCAAGATTTAATTTCAATTGCTGGAACTGAATTACCTTCCATATATGAGAACAAATAATTACTTGTGATATAAAGCTTTTTTTTCTTTTGTTATACGAGTTTTCATTCTTTGTACTTTAAAGGGAAGTTTTATTAAATAACCAATCGTTATACTTAATATTCCTTTTAATGAACTAAACAATCTCTTCCTGTTGTTTTATACAACAAATTGGTTTTACCTTCCAAATCAACGATAAACTTTATACCTGTGTGTGTGTGTGTGTATATGTCTGATTATAGTTTCCACTCAAACATGTGTGGTGTTTCTCTTCTTATTTATTTTGATTATTTGTACATACTACTCTTAACTGATAAAAAAACGGTTGAAATGTGCAGTTATTTTGACTCGTTTGTGATTGATATCGATATTGTTATTTTTTATACATTTTGTTTATGTTTTTTTCAATATTCACAGATATATATAAATAAATAAATATGCACCATTTTTCTGTTGTATTTGTGATTTTTATTGGAAATTAATTTTTGCTACTTCACTGATCATTGTTTCTCATGTAGGGACTACAGTACGAAAATGACTTGAAATGTGGAAAGATGTGTATGTGTGCAGGGTATCTACGAGATGTTACATCACAAAATTTTGTTAGTCATAATTTATTAGTTGTATAAGGGTATTTATCCGTACTATGAAGGGTTATTCTTTCTGGAAAGGAAATTAGATTAAAAATGATCTTGTTGACTTAGGAAGAGTGAATCAGTGTCCAAAGAGAAAAACTGGTTATACATGGTCTTTTTATCATTATTGTTGATTCATCTAGTATGTTTTGAGTGTAAGTGACTGAAGTGGATAAAAAATTGTTGCATTACAATAGACGATTTATCCGCGGTGGTTTGGGAGAACTACAAGTTCGTTAGTTTGATGTTCATGAGTTAATTTTTGAAACCTTTGGTTGCTAAAGCCGATTCACGGATTTAATAAGATATTTTCCTGTGCTATAGAAATATTCTACTCGCTGTTTACGTGAAGATTTGAACGAAGCATCTTAGTAGGTCGCTTATGCGTGCATTTTATATACGAATTCTTCTACTTTTGCAAAACTGGATATGAACTTACATATTATATTTGTTAAGTTTCTGTGACACAAGATCTTTATATGTGAATAATTATCTCAAGACAGTAAAATACCTGACGGAAAGGTACAAAGATGTAGCGTTAGTAATGTAGGAGAGGTTAATGCATTAGGAAACTACATAAAAATATAAACTGAAGTATGATTAAATCAATCGACTCGAACTCATTTAAGTAACGACTAAGCTTTCGTTATGTTGCTTTATTTACTAGTATGATTGTGATAATTTGAACTAATGAATTTGTGAACCAAGTTTTGTTTTTCCATAGAACAAACCAGCTTAGCCATCGTCAAGAAATGCTGTATTTTAAGAAATTCCGACTAGAGCAGACAAAGGATCTTTGAAACAGTATTCTTTGATTCTTCGACCGCGTAATAAAGCTCAAATACGGCCTCCTAAAATTTCAGTATTACACCTAGATTTTCATTAATGCGGTAACGTCAGATATGTTTGTCTTCTCATCTGTTAGCGTTAGTTACTAACTCGGTCCAGTGCTAACCTAGTTATCATTATTTGCATTACTATGTCATTCGTTGCAGTTTATATAATCCTTTAACAATTGTGAAGATAACTTCCAGTTCTATAAATATTAATTTATGAACTAATAGTAAATAAAATTGCAGATTCGAGCTAACATCATTGAACCAGTTCATTACACCCATCACCATATCGACGGAGCAGATTGCTATTAATATTTTCCTCCAAATTTCACGCTTTATTGTCACCTCAAAATACTTACTTCGTATTGAACTGGTTAGTCGAGAATGTCTGTGAATAGTATGTCTATCGCTTCAAAAGCTTGGGTCTACTGAATATGAGTACTCAAATTTTATTTTGTTATAGCTGCGAGTTCACACTTCTTATGAAAAAACAACATTTGTGTGTTGAGTTTCCCGTGAAGTTCAATCAGTGAACAAATTTCACGAAACGTAAAGCTGACAATTCAACCACCCATCCAGGCTTCCCCATATGTACTTTCTGATTTAACTCTTTCATACTAGTTCACATTCTCTTAATATTAACTATTCTCTCATGTGCCTTACAAGGTTGGGTAAGAAAAGATGACACTATAGTCGGTCAGCCCAGAACTTCGGCTTGCTTGTCTAAAACATCACAATAATGTCTCAGCATCTTTCATGCGTGTCGACATTAACAATCAATATTAGGTGACCCGTCAATCAATTCGTAAACCATCACTATTCGTTTTTTTCATTTCAAATTCACGACCGAAAACCCAGTCAAGAAGTAGAGATGTTTAGTCGTATGTACGTTCCTAAGCGTCCGAATCAGCTACTAGAAGTGGAAGCAATTTAACAAACTAGAAAACAACTTCCTGCATTCGACTTTCCATTCGGTAATTGTCATAAAGTATATAAACCATTCGCACTACTTTTTACAATTCTCATCTCTATTGGATTACTTTATTTGATGTATGTGATTGGATATTTTGTCTCATACAATGTACAAGGCCGTTTCATTTACAATCCACATTTCGCCCAAACTTGAGGATGTTACAGTGTTCATTAGTATGTATCAAGTAATCGGCGGATTAATCATGAGAAGAAACAACTAGGAAGGCACCAATAATTCAGACAACCCACTAAATGCTATGAGTTACGTAATTTACTTTCAATCTCGAAAGGTTTCAGATTGTTCCACATCTACGTATAAGCTACCCATTTTACACCTGTTGACATTATTATCCTTCGTAATATCTGAATAAATTGATATAAGCAGCCAATTTTTTACCCATACCATAGTTTATCAAAGCGGTACACACAAAAAATGGGTTGAATCAACTAATTGGTAGGTGGAATACTACGTTGAAAAAGAGGACTTTCATATCCGAAAAATTATATAACACTAATAATAATGAACATAGTACATAAAACTGAAGTAGTGATTATACAATAGGGAACCACAGATAAGTTGAATAAACCAACAAACTTTAAGGAAAAAACGGATCATTGTATATTTTCTTGTCAATGTAAAATCACAAGAACCAAATAATAAATAAGAAGACAATAATATTGAAAAAGAAATAAAACATCACTAAGAAAGAAAATAATAATGTTACATATGACAACATTACTACACAATTGAAGAGATATTGTAAATGAGAAAACGAATATTTGTCAAATTTACGGTATGAAAAGAAAATTAAAGTCGATTAATTTATTTAAGAGGCACTTCACAATAGTTCTGATAGTCCATATTATCACAAAACGATGTCAGTAAATTCACAACAAATAAACATGCAAAAAATTTCCAATAAAAAAAGAGGGAATATATTTTCACATTAAAACCACAGATTGTTTATCACATTGTATGTATATATATATATATGTATTGGAAAAACAACTGACTAAGAGATGTGATTCTCGATAAACCGAATTGATAAAAGCCATTTCTTTTCTAATTTAACAAAACAAATGTACCAATTACGAACTTTGATTTGTAGAAAGATTGAGACCTAAGAAGAGAAACAAATAACAATTGAGAAACATGTACTAAATAATTTTTATATTAATTTACAAAATAGAGAGAATTTAACAGTCAAATGAATTATATATATATATATATATATATATATATATATATATATATATTTGATCGATAGTGCTCATGAAGTGGATGGAAATAGATCATTCAGTGTTCTTTATTACATCATATTCTTTGATGCAACAAATACTGAAGAGATTCGGATAAATAACCCAAGTTTTTGTTTACCAAGAAATAACATTTTCAGTATCCTATATCCTTTTATTGCCAAGAAGGACTAAGTGAAGAAGTTTATGTACCTTGAATGTTTACCCATAGTTTCCATAACAAATAAGATTGTTATCTAGGAGAGGATTGATGACTTAAAAATAAATATTTAAAATTCAATAAGATTAATATTGGAATCGAAGAGATGGCGTGAATCTCCGTTAAACCTGAAAGCAGAATTTATCTGTAATTCTCCAATGGGATGCCACTCGATTGTGACTGCTAAATTGATGTTGTGATCGGGTTTCTACATCGCGGTGATCCAACTGAACCATATAACCTGAAACAGTTGTTCCTTTAGATCCGGTTGGAGAGGTGGCAAGACCAGAAGCAAAAAACTTGTGAACTGAGGGCGAAGTCATACTCATGGCTGTACTGGAGTGTGGTGGCAGTAAGATGCTTCCTCGAAGAAAACTTCACCTACAGCAATGCTACCTTCTTACAACGGAAGGAGAGGGTTAGAGAAAGTCGGTCTTAAAAATAACTTACCCTACGGACTTCCAAGGCTGGTTGTATCGTCTTTAAAACGAAGAACTAACACGGCAGAACTGAAAAAAAGACTGCGACCAACATCAAACAGTAGACCCTTGGACACTATGGTCACACTCCAAAGTTACCAAAAGCACTCCATACCCGATTTCCTATTAAGGTTCCTCAAGGGGCGTCCTTTAAAGTGTAAGAAACCAGGAAATTGTAACCAGCTTTATACCTCCGCACTTAACAACAACTCATCCGCAAGCCGCGTTAACCAAACTACTATGAACGTGAATCAATGTTCCTGCGACGTGCACCTCTTAACTTCTACTCACCGAAAATGTTCATGATAATGCTTTGGAGTAAACAATAACAATACTTTTATACACTTAGTTCACTTGACGAAGTTGGTAAGACAAGAACAACAATCGCTAAGCGCTGAAATAAATTCACTTTATATAGCTTGTTCTGCCTTTTTTAAAAATGAAAATAATAGAAGACAATAGTAAAACATTGGAGTGCGATTGCATAATGTGTCACCGCTATTAATATTGTTGTTTACCGAAAAATAATAATCAGTATATATCACATTACAAATTTTACTTTGACTAAACCTATAACAATGATCGATAAGAGAGAAATTAAACAAATATGCACTTATGCTAAATTTTAAAACACATAAATCCCAGTTATTTAACATATCTTTTATCATTCGAATATTATTACTCATTGTATTATTTAACTCCGCTTGCAGCTCTTCTAATGTTACTGCCAGTTCCAAACCTAAATAAAGGAGGAGGGTTGTGCATGGGGTCGGCAACCACATCCCGTAGAAAAAAACCTTGCTAAAAAACGCCAACCAGATTAAATAATTTGAACTCTGCCCTGGAAGTTAAAGGAAGAATTATGACGCCTCATGATAAAAGCCAAGGTTCTTCGAAAGTCACGAGGCCGATGACCCTTCTAACAACTAGAACAACAATTTTTATAGGTACATGGAATGCTCGGACAATGTGGGAGACCGGGAGGATCAGTCAAATAGCAATGGAAATGAAAAGATACAACTTGGAGGTTCTCAGAATCAGCGAAACCCATTGAACCCAAGCTGAACAGCAAAAGTTAGG